CACCTACACTAGGCAACAGTGAGTAATAAGCGGGAAGCACACTAGAGTCATCAGCATACATCACATGCAGAGCGGAAACAATGGCATCCATATCCATATCAAAGATCTTAATCTGACTACTAAGCAAACTGTGCCAGTCTGGGAGGTCTGGCGACGGGCCGAAGCGCTGACGAAAGAGGTCGTCCAGGCGACGAAAACAGCGGGAGTGGAGTGACCGATCTTACCGCAAACGAAGCCGCGGCGAGGACCGGTCTGGATCTGGTACTGACAACGCCCGCCGCCAGAGCCACCACGCGGAACACCACCACGCGCCCGGCCACCGCCAGCGCCGGGCCACCCTGGCGGGAGGACACTTGTCTGCCGCGTCTGCGACGGCTGCTGCGGCTGCTGCGAAGGCTGCGACTGCGGCGGCTGCTGCGGCTGCTGCACCTGCAGGGGCGGCGACTCAGCTGAACTGGCAGGGTCCCCTCGTCCACTCCAGCACCAAGCGACCCGACCCCACCACTACCCCCGCCCGCACCCCGCCGCCTCCTCCGCCGCGCCCAGCCTTGGGGCGGCGGCCCTTCCCCGAACGGACCTGCGCTGCAGCAGCAGTCTCAGCCACTACGGCAGAGCCGTCGGAGAAGGTGCACTGAGCGGGGGCATAACCCTGAAAGATAGGGACCGGCACGACACCGCTCGCCTCGGCGATGGAGCGGTGACGGGTCTCTATCACAGTCAGGGTGTCTACAAAGTCAGTGAGGGTGAGGTCTGCGGGGTGAACGCTAAGGAAAGCGGTCGCGGGCGACAGCAAGGCGGTCAGGGAGGCGGGTGGCAAGGAGGTAGAGGGTAGAGGTAATGGGCGGCTGGTGGGCTCTAAGCTGGCGTCAGTGCAGGCAGCGCGCCAGGTCTCATCTATCGAGCGCAGGTGGGCAGCGAGGTCAGAGACACTGGGGAAAGATGCAAGGTCAGGAAAGAGCAGCGGGAGGATCAAGCGACCCACCGAGGCAGCCGGAGGGGTGGAATAGCGCTTGATCACAGCATCTAAGTATGCCTGAGCAGTAGTGAGGGACCGAAAGCGAGGACGCTCGGATGGGGGAAGGGCGTTGCTATTGGCAAGCTGGGCAACAGCATCGCGAGAAAGCCAGACAGAGCGCGCACGGGCAGTGGCAGCAGTAGACTCACGCTCAGTGGGTGTGGGGTCAGCGGGCAGGATAGCAGGGGGGTCTGGGCAGGGGAGCGTACCGTCAAGGTGTGCGGAAAGCGGTTCACCATCCTGCGCTGGCCAGTGAGTTGGCGGCGGAGGTCGGCAAGCCACGCCTCGAACTCTAGGGGCTGACCTTCAGCGTCGAAGCGAAGCTCCGCCGCCATCAGGAACAGTCCAGTGCGGTGCAGGCAGTGCAGTGCGGTGCAGTGCGGTGCAGTGCGGTGCAGTGCGGTACAGTGCGGTGCAGTGCGGTGCAGTGCGGTGTAGTGCGGTGTAGTGCGGTGCCAGGCAGTACAGTGTGGTGCGGGGCGGCACGGAGCAGGGCGGGGTGGGGTGGGGGAACCGTACCAGTGCGGAGGACGGGGCCGGGGCTGGCCCGACGGGCCGGGCGGGCGCGACGGGACCGGGCTGGTGCGACAGGGCCGGGACGGGGCGACGGGGCTGAGCGGGCGCGACGGGGCCGGGCTGGGGCGACGGGGCCGGGCGAGTGCGGCAGGGCCGGGCCGGTGCGACGGGCCGGCGAGCGGGACGGCGGCCGGGCGGGTGCGACGGGCCGGGCGGCTGCGACGGGACGGGCAGGGTGCGACGGGGCCGGCAGGTGCGACGGGGCCGGACGGCTCGACGGGGCAGGCAAGGGCGACGGGGCCAGGCGGCTGCGACGGGGCCGGGCGGGCGCGACGGGGCCAGGCGGCTGCGACGGGCCGGGCGGCGCGACGGGGCCGTGCGGTGCGACGGCGCCGGCGGGCGCGACGGGGCGGGCGGCTGCGACGGCGCCGGGCGGGCGCGACGGGGCCGGGCGGGTGCGACGGGGTCGGGCAGGGTGCGACGGGGCCCAGGAGGGGCGCTACAGGGCCCAGGGAGGGCGCGACGGGCCCAGGAGGGGCGTACGGAGCCACGGAGGGGCGCGACGGGCCTGGGAGGGCGCGACGGGGCCCAGGAGGGCGCGACAGAGCCCAGGAGGGGCGTTACGGGGCCTGGGAGGAGCGCGACGGGGCCCAGGAGGGGCGCTAGGGGGCCTGGGAGGAGCGCGACGGGGCCTGGAGGGGCGCGACGGGGCCTGGGAGGGGCGTTACAAGGCCCAGGAGGGGCGCTACGAAGCCCAGGAGGGGCGCGACGAGGCCCAGGAGGGGCGCTACGAGCCCAGGAGGGGCGCGACGGGCGCTACGGGGCCTGGGAGGAGCGCGACGGGCCCAGGAGGGGCGCTAGGGGCCTGGAGGATCGCGACGGGGCCTGGAGGGCGCGACGGGGCCTGGGAGGGGCGTTACAGGGCCCAGGAGGGGCGCTACGAAGCCCAGGAGGGCGCGACGAGGCCCAGGAGGGCGCTACGGGGCCCAGGAGGGGCGCGACGGGGCGCTACGGGGCCTGGGAGGAGCGCGACGGGCCCAGGAGGGGCGCTAGGGGGCCTGGGAGGAGCGCGACGGGGCCTGGGAGGAGCGCGACGGGCCCAGGAGGGCGCTAGGGGCATGAGCGGAAGCGGTAGGTGGGGGGGGGGATCCTACCTACGCGTGATACCATATCAGAATTGGAATTGAATAATGGTAAAGTGAGAGTACACACAAATATACCTAAGTGTTGTACCCTCTAAGAGGTAACCCTATACAGTCTATACAAACATGACAAATACAGATGTTTGACAAGCGGCACTGTGTACAGCTTGGTCTTGTTCCTGTAGCTACTCACTTGTTAGGATCGTGATTGTGTACTTTCTATTATATATACCTGTCAGACTGGCCTTGTGCCTTACCTCCAGTGGCTGGACTAGTAGTGTCGCCCTGGTCTTGCTCTTGCATTGTCTGTACTCGTTTGGCTGGTCTTTAGACCCTGCCTCAGAGGCTGGACTAGTCGTGCCACCCCGAGTCGCTTCTCTCTCACTAGGCACTGCCCCTATCCAGTATAGGGGGAGTGTCAAACATATCTTTGTATGTTGTTATAGACTATATAGGGTTGTGCCTTAGGGAGTACAACCCACTTGGTTATATTCCCTTGTATGTCATTGTTTAGTTATTCCTTCACTTTAACAAAGACCATACCTTGGAGGGGGAGGGTGTAAGGAAATGGCTTTTCCTTATCACACGTTTTAGTTCAAAATGTGTACATTGCTATAACGGGCTGCCCCGCATCTCTGCCACGAAATTCAAATCACGACACCCAAATATGGTCTCTTGACGAGCCGCAAGCATTTTGCTCGCCTTGCTCTTCATGCTTAGATCTGAGCGCTTCGCGTCAATTTACAAACCACATGTCAGCTCTGCCGAGCCTCAACCGTGTGATTAGGCCTAGCTATATCCATGCTCCATAATGTTTGATGTTGCCTCATTGTATTGTTACTTTGCTTCTCAATTATTCGACACATGCTCTTTGCGCTTCATTACACTTTGACGTCTTGCATGTGGTTGTACAATCCAGTGAAATCTAAATACACTCCGTACAGTAATGAGGTTGGGTCTGCCAACCACTTGGGGAGCAAATCTCACTCCCTGCAGTTGGTGCCGAAAAGGACAAGGCACTAGTTTTCTCGGCCACAAATTTCCCATTGTGGAGCTGCTCACATTTTGCGATTGTGGTTTTCGTGCGTTCAGTTCTTCTGCCCCACCCTTCGTTTATCCGTTGATCGTGAGCGTTTAGGGCGTGTCCAGCGCGTACATTTACAATTCACTTTATACGGTTCAATATGGCTTTCATTGTTTCAACGTGGTGAAGCGCGAAGTCCGCTCGTGAACTGATGCGATATATCAACTGAACCTTGACCTGTGTACTGTAAACGTCCGCGCGGGACAGCCCTTACTGTACTAATGCACTGTAGTACAGAATTCTGAAGGGGAGCCAAGCAAACACAGCAGGAAAGAATTAGTTTCTGGTTTGGGTTCCGAACATGAAGCAATTTTTGCGCAGGCATGCCCTTGTGATGACGGTCCATCCAGATGAGACGAACGCGTGGTTTTGGCGTCAAGCTTGTCGTATTGTGTCATGCTGGAATCGGGACTGCATTGACTTGTGCAATGCTCCGCTTTCCTACGTGATGTCGGATCGCAATTTCTCTCGTCGAATCGGCCACTAGCGATAGCGGGAACGAGTTACCCGCGCACGTAATTGGCAGCTCGGTGGCACGCGCCTCGCGCGCCGCATCCAAGGTTTGAATTTGTATCACAAGACCATCCACAGGTTCGCAAATCGTCGTAAGACATCGTCAACAGTGACGTGGACAACTGCTTGTTGCTGCATTCCTAGCCGCAACTGTCGTTCAAGCTTCGCCGCGTCAGCCGAGCTGTCGCGAACGTCGCTCACGTCGATGGTCAGCCCCTCTTTGGTGGGGAGCATGTCGTACGGGCTGCGACGGATGGGGCATGTGCGACCGCCCAGACCCACATTCTTCGCAAATCGCCCCTCGAAATCTTTTCGTAGCGGCTGAAATCGAACACAATTCCCAATGCTTTCCCGAAACGCAACTGCCGAAATTGCCCACTTCGCCCCATCCCTTATCTCTCTCCTGCCAGCCGCTTTCTCAACCCAACTCAGAACCCAAATTTCTTCGCCCCTGCTCCCACGATGCATGGAACACCATACAGCATGCGCAGCCACTCATACAGCGGCGGCCAAGCACCAACCCGCCGCACAGCCTCTCCTGCCCAATCCAAACCCCCACTCCATCCCATCCCATTCCAACCATTCCCCCACACGGCTCGATGTCAGTTGTCCTTCTTCCCCGCTCATGACTATGACCCGCCCCGTCCCTGTCTGCCAGATTCCACGTCATGCGACCTGAAGTCGCTCTGTCCCTCAGTTAGGTTGCTTGCTTTGCTCTGCGCCCGTCAGCACGGGGAACGAAGTGTCTCCTCCAGAGCAGAAGCAGCATCAGTCAGAAAGCACGCGCAATTGCTCCTGCCTGTCAGACCCAGTCATGCTGCTGGTTTCTCTCTCGCTTAGTTGCCCCTCCACCCATTTCAGTACGCAGCTTTGAGATCTGACCTGCATTTCTCGGTGTAAGTAGGAAAAAAAGGGCGCGAATCTTGCATAGACTAGATGATCAGTGACGTATTCAGGAAACGCCTTGCAATACGTGCGGTCTATCAGAGACCTAGAGTAATAGTAGGTGCGCAAAGGTGGAAACGCGAAGGTAATCGAACGAAGGACGCTTTCGTCGGCACTTGCGGCGACCACGTTAGATTCGGATCAAAACTGCCATGTACTCTTTAAGTTTAGACTAGGAAACTAAAGAACCGACTTCCCACATAGGCCGCTCGTACTCATGCTTTGGGTGACTAAGCTCGCGATCCAATTCGTGGCATAACGGTAGTAGACGTGGGACGTGTAGCGAGGTGATAATATCGAGGGCGGATGCCTCTCGGTTTTGCGGAACCTCAAGACGAGGAGCCGAGACACATGCCGCCATCCGCGCATGCGCCCCCATCGGCGCACGCGCCTTCCGCCGCGCCCTCTGCGCAGGCGCCCCCGCTGATGCCCTACCGAACGGCGCGCTGTTCGGCTCCGCCGTGCCCCTGCAGCAGCAGCAGCAGCTGCTCCAGGGGCGCGACGGGGAGGGCACGCATGCGCAAGCGCAGGTCCATGCTCCGCAGCAGGAGCTGAAGCCGCCGTCACAGCAGGCGCCGCTACAGGCGCCGCAGCACGCGGGGCAGCCGATGTTTCTAAACAGTCAGCAAACGGAGTCTCTAGGTAGTAACATTCACGGTTGATTCATGGACAGGGGTTGGGGGGACGGGGGGAACGCGGGGAGGCGCTGCGCCTGCGGAGCAGTCCGGGGTGCGGGTTGCGGACCAGCAACAGGGGCAGGCGCAGTCGGCGCAGGTAGCGCAGCAACAGCAGCCGCAGTTTCGCAACCACTGGCGTATCAGCCATCGCAATTCCCCCCGCAGTACCCGCCACAACAGGCCCCGCAGTATCAGCAGCAGCAGCCGTTTGCGCAAGGGATGGCGGACAAGGGGGGATGCAGCAACAGGGGCAACAGAACCAATACCAGCAGCAGCCGCAGCAGCAGCAGCCCCTTCCGGTATTTCAGCAGCATCAGCAGTATCACCAGCAGCAACAGCAACAGCAACAGCAGCAGCAGCAGCCAGCAGCAGCAGGGGCAGCAGCACCTCCACCCGCCGTCTCTCCACACTCTCTCTGTCACTGGAAACACGAGCGTGGCTCGTACCCCAGAAGGCAACTCGTCGTTGTCGTCGGCCCTCATCTAGGCCCCCTCGCAGCTTCACCAGCAGCAACGCTCCTGGAGCCTCCGCCTCCGCGCATTTCTCTCCCCGCCTAACGCGAATCAGCAGTCGCGGCAGACGCATCCGCAGCAGCAGCAGCAGTACCAGCAGCAGCAGCATCCGCAGTACCAGCCGCTTCAACAGCAACAACAGTACCCTCCTCATCAGCAGCAGCAACAGCTGCAGCAACAGCAGCAGCAGCAGCCGATTGTGCCGCCGCTCCTCCACCTTCCCCTCCCCGCGCTCATCGAACCCCCCAGCCCCGGCTCCCCTTCCCCACCCTCGCTGTCCTCCAAGTCCCCGCGGAAGTCCACCCGCCGATGGAGCCGCTTCCGCCGCTGCTTCCGCCCCCTTCCAATCTCTCCTCTTCCGCCACCGCCGCACCATCGCTCCCGTCTCTCGGCCGTCCCCTTCCTTCGCTTGCGCACAACACACGTGGGCTCCCCTTTGGCGGAAACGGCCCAGCGGGCGCAAGCTCCACGGAGAACACCGCGGGGGCGGCGGCTCCGACACCAGCCACCACCGCGAACTACACGACTCCCGCGGGCCGGCTGCGCGTGGGCTCGCACCTTCCGCTGCTCGGCGGACGGTTCCGCTTCCGCGCAACGATTTCGGAGGGCGGATCTGCGCGCGTGTTCGAGGCGGTGGATACCGCGGGTAGCTCCGCGGGGGCGCAAGCGGAGAGGAGCGCTGGGGGACTGCCAACGGCGTCGGATCTTCAACGGGGTCTAGTCAGAATCAAAATAAGCTACAACCGACCGTTGTCATTAAAGCCATGCACCGACAGTATCGCGAGGTGGGGCGGCAGGAGCTACAGCTGCTACACATACTCAACTCGCTGCTGCCGGCCGCGATCGGCGTGCAGAAAACGACAACGCGGGGGACGGCAGTCAGAGCAGTGACGGCTGTCCGGTTGTGCGGCTGATTGAACCGGGGGATTCGATTTCTCGGGCACATGTGCTTGGTTCTTGAGAAGCTTCACGGATCTCTCCTCGATTACCTTTGCCGCAGAGCCGTCGAAGACGCCTCCGCGAAACCCGCCGCATCAGCCGTCATCGCCGCGTCACCCGGCGGCGCGACCGCGTCCTGCACTTGCGCGGAGTCTCCCGCAGAGGCTGCGGGCGCGCGAGCGGGCCAGTTCCGCGCGCGCCAGCATTCCCCGACAGAGTGGAGGACGTACGCGCGGTTGCGCGCCAGGTGCTGACGGCTCTCGCGGCGGTCCATTCGATCGGGTTCATCCACGGCGATATCAAGCCCGAAAATATTCTCCTCGCCGCGCCGATTCCAAGCGGAGCTGCTGCCGCCGCCGCAGGGGGAGCGTCGGGTTCAGAGAGGCGGGTTTGCCCGGTGCATTCCCCCGGCCGCCTCCGTTGAGTATCAAGCTTGCGGATTTTGGAAATTCGTTCATGCAGCGGCAGTGAAGGATTTGTGTCGAGATTTTGATGTTCAGACACTCGCGTACCGGGCACCGGAAGTTTTGCTTGGGCTGCCCTTCGATAAGAGTATTGATCTCTGGTCACTGGGGTGTGTTCTGTCGGAGCTCGCGATTGGCCGGTTGCTTTTCGTGTGCGATTCGCCGGCTCAGCTGCTTCGCCAAATGGTGGAGATGCTCGGATTACCACCGCCTGCGAAGCTGTTTCGCAACGGGAAGCTGTTCGCGCAGCTCGCGAGGAGCGCGCGCGTGTACCCGTCGCAGCAGCTGGAGGTGGGCGCAGGAGACGCGGACGGAGAAGGCGGGAAGGCCGCGGAAGAGGACGAGTCGGCGGAAAAGATTCACGCGACCATTCGGTAAGGTTTCAATGGCGGCGCGAGGTGAGAACGGGAATGCCGCTGATTACTTATTAGGTCAGGAAATTTGGGGGAGCGAAGGGAAACAAGTGGGGAGAGGGCAAGGTTGGGATGTGAATAAACAGCGGATGCGCGGCACGGTTATGACAAGAAATTGGAGATTGGTATGGGACATTGGAGATACGCGACTCGGCAAGTGGTTTCGCTTAGCTGGTTTGATTTCGCTTGGGCTCGCTAAGCTTGCGAAAAGAGGGGCGAAAGTGCAACGAAATTCGCAATCTGTATTATCACCCCATCATGCGAAGATTTTTTTTCTGTCGCACAGATCGTCACAATTCGCAAGTGTCTCATCCCTACTCGTTTTCATGTTCATCTGGCTTTTATTTGGCGGTGCACGAAGCTAAACTTTTTCACTTACGAAAGAAAGGAACTTCACACTTTCCTGCAACTCTTCGACTCTCCCGTCATCACCTTCTAATGCATTGCAGGCGTGTCGTCTGGGCCGCATGCTGTTGCAACACGATCCAGTCATGGCAGAGTCATCTTCTCCTTAATGGAATACGACCCAGCTAAAAGACCCTCCGCTCAGCAGGTGCGCCTCTTCGCTCTATTTCATTCTCTCACTCACACAGCACCCAGGCGAGCACACACACTCACGAATACATATGTCCTGATCGTGTCTCCCCACCGCTCCCACTCCCATTTCATTCAAACCCTTTGATTTTTCTCATGTATCTCCGTACCTGCCTCATTCCTTCTCTCCCCTCCCCCCCACACATAACCAGGCGCTATTGCACCCCTTCATCCAGAACCCCCACAACGCGCAACCATCTGCCGCCCCTCCGCCCGTCCCCTCCTCCCCGCCCCTCCGCTTCCATCCCCGCTTCCCCCGCGCTTCCCCCGCTCACTGCCTTCACCGCCCCCGCACCGCCCCTCCAATCAAGGCCGAACCTATCTTCGAGCGCTCCGCTTCCTATCCTCTCACGTCAGGCTCGGCAGGAGGTTCGCAGCATCCGGACCTGAGCCCATGGCTCTGGACTCTAGGCCCGGGCCTGCGCTTTCTCTGGGCTTTGGCCTCCAAGCCAAAGCCCGTTCGAACAGCAGCAGCAGCAGCAGCAGCAGCAGCAGCAGCAGCAGCAGCAGGAGGAGGAGCAAGGGCAGAGCCAGCAGGAGCAGAATCAGCAGAGCCAGAAGCAGAAGAAGAATCAGACTCAGCAGCAGCAGAAGCAAGGGCAATCTACAGCTGCTGGTGGTGCCACTGCTGCTCCTATTGTTGCTGCGCCGACTGCTGGTACTCCTGGGGTAAACCACCGGCCAACCGAAGAGCGGTAGCTCGTAGCAAGTCGGCGTCTACAGCCACCCCTTCAGGCAGGAAAGCTGCTACAGCCGCTGCTAAGGCCGCTGCTCTAGCTGCTGCCAGTGCTGCAACAACAGCAGCAGCAGCAGCAGCTGCAGCCGGTTCTACAGCTGCTGCTACTACAGCCGCTGCTGCAGGCACAGCACCAGTGACAGCTGGCAGCAATCCAGGACTTAGCGACTCTGCGGGTCCTTCTGCTGCTGCTGCCGGTGATTCCAAGCCTCCTGGCGATGCGCTTCACCTGAAGCAGCTGTCCCAAAACTCCCTGTTCTCTCGTGCTGCGTCCTTTTTGCAGTCCTTCAAAGCGGCTGCTCCGACCCCCGCTGCCGCTGCTACTGCTGCAGCCTCTCCTGCTGGTGGTGCTGCTGTTGCGGGGAGTGGAAACGTGGGTCCAGGCAATGGGCAGGGGGAGGGATGGGGGAACAGCAGCAGCAGCAGCAGCAGCAGCAGCAGCAGTTAGAGAATGAGAGGTACTTGACTCAACAGCAGCAACCGCAGCAGCAACAGTTTCAGCAGCAGCAGCAGCAGCAGCAACAGCAGTTTCAGCAACAGCAACAGCAACAGCAACAGCAGCTGCAGCAGCATCACTATCAGCAGCAGCAACAGCAGCAGCAGCAGCAGCAGCAAGCGCAAGCAGCACATGCATCCACGCCGTTTTCAGTCGCCACCACCAGCAGCAGCAACCCCTCCCACCGAATCAACCATCTCCCCTCCCTCACCCCCCTCCCCAATCCCGCCCTCCCCCTCCCCCCACCCCACGCTCTCCCCGCCACCCTTCCCCTGCTGCTGCGCCCTCCCCCTCCTACCCCCCCTCCAACCCCCCCAAACCCCTGCTCTCCGCCCCTACCCTTCCACCCCTTACACTCACCCCCACAGCCACCCTGGCATGGTTACCACTCCTGCTGCCACGCCCGTTACAAGCACACCCGCCTCTCTCCCCCTCCACCCTGCCCTCCCCCTGCATTCTCCCTGCTGCTGCTGCTTCCGTTCCGCACCACCACCCCAGCACCAGCAGTACCAGCAGCAGCACCAGCAGCAGCAGCCCCCTCGGTCCCTTTCTCTCTCTGCTGCTGCCAGTCTAGCCAACCAAAACACAAACGCCTACGGAAGCAGCAGCTATGGCAGTCCGGCACAGCAAGGCACAGTCACCTATGGGAGTCTGGCAACCCAAGGCTTGGGCACCCCGGGGGCTCAGCTCATCCAAGGGACCATTGGGGGGGCGCTGACCAGCAGAGGACTCACTAACTCTGCATCTGCCCCGGCTCACGGCTCTTCTCATGGGTCGTCTCTGCTTTCTGTCGCTGCTGCTGCTGCTGTTTCTGTAGCTGCTGCGGACAATAGCAGTGGCGGTGCTGTTGCTCCTGGTGCTGCTACGGCTGGCGCTGCTGGGCTCCCTGTGGGCATAGCCACTCCTGCTTATGGCACACCCGCTGCAGTGACCTCAGCAGGTGCTTCGGCTGCTGCTCAAACTCCCGGTACTCCTGCTGCTTCGTCCCTCACTCCCTCACTTCACCACTTCATGGGGCCTCCTTCTGGTGCTAGTGGCGCTGCGTCCCTTGCATCTTCCGCGGCTGTTAATGCGGCTGGTGGTGGTGGTGGTGGTGCCTCTTCACCTGCTTTGTACCCTACCGTCAATGCTGCGGTGGTGGTGGTTGCAGCATGAGCAGATTCGCACTCCAGGCGCAAGGGCAGGGGCAACATGGTAACCAGCAGGGGCAATGTGGTAACCAGCAGCAACAGGTGCAGCAGCAGCAGCAGCAGCAGTATCACCAGCAACAGAATCACGAGCACCAACACGAGCACCAGCATCAGTGCCCGTTGCACGGCTCCCTGCCACACACTCACACTCACACGCCCTCACACACCCCCGCACACTCGCACTCACTACCCCCATCCTCCCTCCCACACTCCAAACCAAGCGGCGCAGCAGCAGCAGCAGCAGCAGCAAGTGGTGGTGGGCATTGCTCGACCGCATATGCCCACCTCACACACTCCCAGTCCTTCCTCCCTCTCACCCTCTTCCCACCCCTCCTCCCATCCCTCACCTCACTGCCACTCCCTCACTCACTCTCAGTCTCAAGGGCGCCTCTCCCCTCGTCACACTGCTCTGAATCACGCCTCCTCTCCTGCCTCCTCCGTTTCTCAGCACCAGCATCAACACTATCAGCAGCCGCAGCAGCAACAGCAGCAACTGCAACAGCAGCAGCAGCAGCAGCAGCAACAGCAGCAACAGCAGCAGCAGCAGCAGCAGCAGCAGCAGCAGCAGCAGCAGCAGCAGCAGTATTATCAACAGCAGCAGCAGCAGCAGCAGCAGCAGCAGCTGCAGCAGCAGCAGCAGCAGCCGCAGCAGCAGCAGCAGCAGCAGCAGCAGTATTACCAGCAGCAGCAGCAGCAGCAGCAGCAGCAGCAGCAGCAGCAGCAGCAGCAGCAGCAGCGGTCTATTGCTCCTCACCCTTCTTCTCCTTACCCCTCCACCTCTCAGGCTCCTGCCAGTCCGGTAAGCAGTGCCTCCACTGCTTTCCATACTGCACCCACTCCCGCCCTCCGCCCCGCCCCTGCTCCCGATTATGCGTCGCCTCCTGCTAATGTTTCTGCTGCTCCTGCCACTGCTGCTGGTGCTTCGGCCGCTCGTGCGTCTCCTGCTGCAGCCGTCGCTGCTGTCTTGGCTCTCTCTGGTTACCAGCAGCCACAGCAGCAGCAGCAGCAGCAGCAGCAGTATGAGCAGCAGTACCAGCAATTGCAGCCGCAGCAGAACCAGTACCACCAGCAGCAACAGCAGAGTAGCCAGTACCAGCAGCAGCAGCAGCAGCAGCAGCAGCAGCAGCACTACCACGAGCACCAGTCCTTCTGTCCGCTCTCTCGTTCTCCTGCCTCTCCCACCGAGCCTGGAGCTGCTTCCCAAACCTGCCAGACTCCATACCAAACCTCATCTGCAGGTATGGCAAATGCCCCACTTTCTCGCTCTGGCTTGGCTGCGCCCTCGTCTACCGAACCTGCAGGTTTGATGGGTGCCCCTCCCGTTAGGGGAAGCTACTGGGGGGATTCTGCTACTAATGCTTATCTAAGTGCTGGTCCTAGTGCGTCGGCTGTTAGTGCCGGCCCTTCCATTCGGTTGCTATCCGTTCCCAACGCATCTCCTGCCACGTCATCCATGTCTGCTGGCCCTGCCACGTCAGCTGGCCGTGCCGTCTCAGCAGCAGCTGCCACGTCAGCAGGTGGTGGTCGCTCCCCACAAAAGGGTGCTGTTTCGTCTGGCTCAGCTGGCATGCTGAGGCTGCCAGGTGTCATGCCACATCAGCAGCAGCAGCAGCAGCACCAGCAGCAGCCGCAACAGTATTCCCAGGGCAACACTTTCATGCAGCAGCAGCCGCAGCAGCAGCAGCCGAGCAGCATGCCTGTTGGTATCGCTCGGCCCTCGGTCTCTGCTAACCGCTGTTTGCAGCAGCAGCAGCAATTCCATCAACAGCAGCCCCAGTGGCAGCAGCAGCAGCAGCAGCAGCACCACCACCACCACCACCAAATGGGGCAGCAGCAACTGGGGCAGCAGCAGCAGCTGCAGCAGCAACTGGGCCAGTTCACATCACTGGTTGTGGAGTCAAGTGGAAACTACCAGATGCTGCCAGTTTCCTCCTTCACCCTCCCACCCTCGCAATCCTCTGCGCCAGCTTTCTCTTCCCAGGAGCAATCACCGCAGGCAGGAGGGGCAGATGCGGCAGCAGCCACAGCTTCCAGCATGCAGCTACCACAGCTGCAGCAGCAGCAATATCAGCTTCCGCAGCAGCAGCAGCAGCAGCAGCTGCAGCAGCCGCCACAGCAGCAGTTTCAGCAGCAGCAGCAGCAGTTTCAGCAGCAGCAGCAGCAGCAGCCAGTGCAGTACCCAGGCTACAACAGTAGCAGCTACATTAGCAGCTACAACCGAAGCTCGGGCCTATCTGGCACGGACACTCTCACTCCTCCTGGTCCTCTAGGGGGGCTGTTGGCCGGGAGTGCTGACTTCGGGTGCAGCCACAATGGCAGTAACAGCGGGGGAAACACGTCAGTTCATGATTCCTATGCTGCTGTTGCTGGGGGTGATGTTGGCGCTGCTGCTGCTGCTGCTGGGATGGTTGGTGCAGGAGCTTCAGGTTTTGGTGTGGGACCGGCACCAGAAGCAGTGGGAGCAGCAGAAGAGGGAGGTTATCCCTCGGATGGTGTGGCAACGCCTGCAGATTCGGCTGCTGTATATGCTGCTTCAAACCAACTGCAACCACAGCAGCAGCAACAGCAGCAGCAGCAGCAGCAGCAGGGCATGTTCCCGCCTTACAGCAACGCCGCACGGGCAGCAGACGAGGGGAGGCAGCAGCAGCAGCAGCAGGCGTCGTAGCATGTACCCCCAAGTCCCGCACTCTCAACGTTGACCTAACAGATCTCCTGGGGATGGAAGGGGGCACAGACTTGGGGCAGCAAGGGGAGGAGGCGAGGGCCACAGAGGGCATCTCAGCAGCCATGGGTGATGAGATCTTGGGCGGGCCCTTCAAAAAGCCGCGGCTTTGGGACGAGAGAGAGGAGATTGGCGGGGGGATAGCAGGGGCTTCGGCCTCCTCTCCCTTCTCCTGCTTTGGACGATTGTCCCCCCTTTCGCTTACAGAGGAAAGGGCGGAGAGTGGGGGAGAGGGTGGGGATGGAACGGAGGCAGTTGGTGAGCCTGGTAACCGGGCTGAAGGGATCATGGGCTTTGATATGAAAGGGGCGTCATGGGATTTTCTGGATGGGTGCTTGGACTTCATTTGACAGTGTGAGGTTCTTGGTGGTGCTTGGACGACTGAGTTCGTGGGAGAGGTGCATCAGTGTGTGCATGGATGGATGTGGCAGTGCAGAGGTTATGAGTAAGGTGGCCATTTGTGCCTTGACTGTCTGGTGGCATGCGCATGTGTGAGGGGGGGATGGGGGGGGGGAATTGCTGGGTGCATGTCCTGTTGTCTGTATTTTTTCAACCGTTTCTTTTGACACTCAACTGTGTCTACAATGGGGTGTTTTGGGGAGGGGGGGGGGGGGGGGGGGGGGCGCGGATGGGGGGGAGAGATCATCTAGGGAGCGCAGCTGTGGGAAAGAGGAGATGGGGGGGAGGGGTTGAAGTGGGGGGATGGGGGGTAGGAGAGATATCCGGGGAAGCAGCTGTGGGAAAGAGAAGGAGCACTGCGGTGCTCCTGGTGTTGGGCCATCGGCGCCACCAACAACGGATTGCGCTTGAAGTGCTGCTTACAATGAAGGCCACGAAGAGAGGAGGGGAAGGGGAGGGGGGGGTTTGATATGAGGCACATGCTTGCTTTTGTTTCTGTGTTTGGTGCTGATGGGAAGTTGGGCAGTGGGAGAGTGGAGTCAAGCCCACCCATCGTGCACCAACTATGCATGTTCCTGTTTCTGTTTGAACACTGCATTTTCTTTTGAATTGTTGGGGAATAATTTGCCCGGGGTAGTTGGGCTCCTGTCTTCTATGCAATGAGCCAAGGCTCCTACTGTAGCTAAACTACTATTACTAGTTGTGTTGCTTTGAAATCTACTATATTGCTTTCATATTTCTTTGCTAAAATATCTAGGTGAAATTGAGTATGCTTCGATGACTACCAATTTGTTGTACGATATGCAATGCATTTATTTGCACGGTGTATTACACACATTGTAGTACATAAATATGTGTTATGAATGGGACTGCCGAGTAGCGCGGAGGGCAATGGCGAAACTGTGAACAATAAAATGAAGGACAATACATTATATAGAAAGCCTAGGGTGATCCTGGACGTAGGATCGGAAGGTTCGGAAAAAGTGTCGAAGGGCCTCGATGTGTCGAAGCGAGGTCCGGAAAGGCCCAGGAGGCTCGAACTAAAAGGTCTGGAACCCTGGCGATGGTTCGGGACTGTTCGAGTCGTACGCCCTGTAGCAAGCCTCAGTATGTATCATTGTAACTACATCATAGTTGTAACGAGGTGCTTATCTCTGTTAGCGTACATATATCATATATATATATGTATATATATACATATATGCGATATAGGCTAGCTAGGTGCAGACTGTAGTGGGGGCAACCCCAATACTTAAACCCCCTCCTGTTTCTGTTTCAGTCACTCTGTTATTTCATTCTGACATGCTAGGTCAGACCCTAGCCTCCGCGCTTCCGCCCTAGGTAGTCCCGACTCACCTCTCGACCTAGCCCTAGCCCTAGCGCACCGTAGTCCCCGCTGGCCTCTAGCGCCTCGTAGGCTCCGTCGCACTGTCCACGCCGCGCCGCGCCTTAGCCTGCGCCCGTGCCCAGCCCGCACCCGTGCCGCGCACGCCGCTTGCACTCGCGCCCCGCCGCGCCGCTGCTCGCTGCACCTGCCACGCCTGCCGTGCCATGCCGTGCCGTGCCTGCCACGCTGGCCGCGCCGCCCCGTGCCACGCCCTGCCCGCCCGCTGTGCCGGTCGCGCCTGCAGCACCGTGCCGCCCCGCACCTGCTGCACCTGCCGCACTGCGCCTTCCGCGCCGCGCCTGCGCCCTGCCCGCTCCGCGCGGGCCCGCGCCTTGATTGAGCCCCACCCGCGCTTTGCTGCCTCTGCTGGCCCTGCAGCGGGACCTGTCGTTGGACCCGCCGCCACTGCCGTCGGATCTGCCACCGTATGCCGCCCTTAGCAACAGTTGCTGTCTGGGTACGTGCAGAGCCTTGGTCTCCTGCCAGCATGGCGGCCCAGCCGGTGTCAGTGTTCGGCCCCGGACGCCGAAGGCCGCACAATCGGTTTCGCGGCCAGGCTTTCGACCTTGCGCAGGCAGTTGAGGAGCCAGCGCCTAGAGGGCGAGTCGCTCGCGCCCACGTTAGTGGTGAGATGCCCGCCCCCTCCCACCCTGCTCCCCTTGGCACCGAGATGACATCGGCGCAGCGTGCAGAGTTCTAGGCTACCAGGACCGCTCTCTCCGTCTGGTAGTCACGCGACGCCGCCGTGCAGGTTGCCATCAGCCTGTACCTGCCAGTCGACGAGCACTCCCACTTCACGTTGGAGGAGACGGCTCAGGCCCTCTAGGATGCGATCGTCGCTCGCTACTCGACCCCGTCCTCCACCACCCCCGGTCGCCTCTTCCTCCAGTTTCTCTTCCTTGACCTGGCCTCCTCCACGGTCGCGGACCTTGTCGCGCACTGCCATGCAGCTTGTACCGAGGCCCAGCTTACCGTGCTCCCCTCGCCCACCCCTATCACCCTTTACCTCCTCACCTCCCTGACCGCCTCGCCCCTGTGCGTGATGCCCTCCTCGCACTGCACCCCGCTGACCTCACTATCGACCTCTTCTCCACCTCCATGATTCAGATAGAAACCCACCTTCGCGCCATTGCTCAAACCACTGGCGCGGTGACAGTACATATCTTTCAGGGCAGCCCTCTGCCCTAGCTCCCTGTCCCTATTGCCTCCGCCTCTATCGCTGAGACCGCTGTGACGGTCACTGCGTCCGGTCGCTCTTTTGATAATTCACGGCACTCTCGTGGACGTGGGGCATCGGCAGCGACGGATGGTGGGGGCATTGGTGGGGCCCGAGGTGCTGGGCGGTTACGGAGGAGGAGGGGGAGCAGCAGCAGCCGCAGCAGCAGTAGCTGCCGTGGGGGCCGGTGGGCCCTGGGAGTGTTGGGCATGGTGTGGGCCTTGGTGGTTAGACCCAGGGACAATCAGTGCTCTAGGGTTTGAGTGTCTCCTCTGTGGGCCAGGGTGGCATGGGACCTGGGGGATCTGTGCACTATACATACCAAGAGTATGTTGATTCCTATTATCCTGCTGTGTATAGTCTAGGCTCCTCTGCCGTGTGTAGACTTGGATCTCCTACTGTTTCTCCACCAGCCCCCGCTGCGGCGGCCCTCTCCTTCACACTCGACTATGGAGTGTCTCCCTGCTTCTTCCGAGACCACTCTGCTCTCTGTCAGAGGATGAGGCTTGACGAATCCTTGAGCACACCCATTTGCATATTTGCTATTTACTTGTGTGTTATTTTGTGTGTTTTTCCCTTTCTGGAATCCCTACACTCTTCCCTACACATTGATATATTTTACATATATCATATATGTTACAGAATGTTTCGGACTTTCCTTGCATGACACGTTTTCTATTGCGTGGAGTGTTCCGTCACCGTCACTGTATCTCTAGAATCTCTACCATGCTTCTAGGTGGTGTTCCTACGGACGATTCCACTCATTTCTAGAACTCTCTTAAAAGTTCCTAGTTACCCTTCCCTAGAGTTATCGTAGGTATAAATAGCATTGCCTTTTTGCTCGTAGGTATAAATTATTGATTAGTATCGTTCAAGCTTTCGCTAAATCCTGGATGTAACACTTGGTAATAAGAGCACAAGGTTTCTTATCAACGCTTATCCGCAGGGCCTCTAGGAGCATGCCGAGGATGGAGTCGAACTTTTTGATCGCGTAAGTAAATCGTATTTTCTTACTAAGTTTCGACTAACCTCGAGCAGTTGCACCTAGGGTCCCCATCGATGGCGAGCAGCATCGCCAACTGTTCGATATTCAACATCGACGGAGCCGATTTTTTGGGGGGGCATACGTCTACGACCCTCACCAAAGGCGTCCCCATATTACCTGCATTAAAATCTGGAGTGTTTTCTGCCCTCCGAAGCGATCGACGGTAGCTGATGGAACTTACCCTGAGGCGTTTTCCAAGATTTTCCAACTTCGCCACGAATCTTGGATTTGCGCCAGCGAAGATCTACGACAGCCGTCCGATTGGATTTCGACGCTTCAGATTGTCCAAGGCGAAACGAACCTGAGCTGACGGAGTTCAAGTTTCAGCGCGTGTGGAAACGACACCTCTATAGCAGCGGATCATTCGACAACGGACATCGACGACAACGAATTGCCGCAGAAAACGAGTTGACCCTGACATTCGATGAAGTTGATCGAGCCTCAAGAATCTTTTCAGATCGCTTGGAGTTTGGTCTGTCGGATCATTATTGAACCAGCAGTCCAGATCAAGAGTGATTTTCCTCTTCACTGGGAGTGGACGTAGAGAAGCAGATATACGCTGACGTCACAATTGTTGACTGGACTTCAGAAACTTCCAGCTCTAAAAAATTCAGATCTCCTCGTCACGTCAGGAATTACGACAACAAAACGTTTCGTCAGTTAGAGTCATCAGCAAGAAACATCTACTTGGTAACATCGACTGGCGGAACTGCTGTCGCTGTACGTGGATCGTCAGAACGTCACCGAATCGACGACACAAATGGACATTTAGACTTCTCGATGGGAGAAACACGTCTAGGAGTCTACATTCGAGCCTGGCGACACAACGATTGCATACTGCTCGAGCCGTCGCAAAATCGACACCATTTCTACTACGAAGTCAGAAGCTTCGTTTGAAGCCAGATTCACACCAACGAAGCAGAATCTCGTACTTCACCATAGAAACAGATTTTGGTGGTACACCAACAATGCAACTGAACATCTCCAATGACTACACCGGCTTGCATAAAACTATCGTTCTACATCGATGAAATGAAATACTTCGACAATTGGGCGCACAAAGGATCACAGAAAAGTACAAGTTTTCTCTTGCAAAATCCTCGCCAGCCAAAGTTCATGCGAAGGAGCAGATTTCGCATGCAACAAATGACGCAGTTACTACGTTTCGTCAAGGATAGCGAGAAACTACTTCGTAACAGGAGCTGATCGATTCATCTTCACAACGAATCGCAGCTATCCGCAGTGATTGGTTGGAGCAGTTTGACATCAACCTCAAGTGATGACATCCCAATCATGTGACAGTGATTCCAGGTGTTTATGCCATCGCACAAAGGCACGAGGGTTGATAGACCGAGGAGTCATGACCTCGAATCTGGCAATCATTCGCATACCTGCGACCCTACGATACATGTATTGGAGACGATTATACCAGAAGCCGAAGCGTTACAAGCCTCGACGCAACTTCGACGATGCAGGAGAATGCCCAGCAACACGATCATGTTGACAAATGTGGGAGTTGCAGATTGCAACAAGACAATTACGCGCTTTACCGACCGTGCATCGGGAGCACGGATGAACATCCAGGCAGTTACTACCCGTGGATACAATGAGGGGAGAAGCAAGTAATCTTCATACCCTTGAGCGAACCAATCACCGGCAGCAATGGAGTGAAACCTATGCACTAAGACACATGTGTTCCCTGGTAGTTACAATTGTTCCACCCATCAGGAAAACTCTACACGAAAGAGGGAGCGGATGGATTCTTCTTCGAGCCCTTACGAGTCAATCGCATCCTTTGCAGCAGCCGCCACCGCGAGTGTTTACCACCGCCGCCGCCGTCGCAGCAGACAACTACAGTAACACCTAACCCTGATGGATATTCCTCAAAACAATGGAGATGACAGTGGATCTTATTCAGCATGATTTCAAGACCCGGCCTGGCACTACATCTACGATTTCTAGCTAGTGGGATGGAGATACCACTACGTCCTAGACCAACGTGGTAATCCCACATGCCCTCAAGAGCTTAGAGAAAAGAGACTCTTAAAAGGATGGGAAGACTATGAGGATCTTCGAGTCCTCATGGCCCAATGACTTCAATTGAGTCATCAAACCTGCGC